ATATATACTCTGAGACATGTACGTATAGTAATATACCTGTAGATTAATGATTTATACATAATTATGTCTACACTTAACTTATTCGCCTTGCTAAACAGGTTCTATTCTATTACTTGCCCTCATTATATTATTTTTAACTAAAGCACAGTGTAGTTTAACTGTTAGTTGCATTTCTAAAATACAATTTATTGGGGTGACAAGAATATGATATAGCTTGGTCAGTGGTTTCTTGAATATTGAATAATCAATGAGTGAAGTTTTTGAAACTGAATAAATAAAATTGTATAACAGGGGTCTGAAAAGATATATTTTACACATTGAATACGAGCGGCAATATTACTTGACAGTGTCGCCCCGAGACGCAAATATAAGCGCTATAATAGTTTTGAATACTATTAGTAGTAGATCTAAACAATTTTATTGTGTACAGTGTATTGAGGGTGTGGTCAAGAGTGGACGGGTCCACATATATAATTCTCGGACCAGTAGACACAAAATAGGTTTATGTATGAATCCTATTACCAAGAATCATATTCTACAATATTCATGATATATACTATAAAGTATTATTTTCATGTAATGAAAGTAATTAAAAAGCTGTTATTTTTTTTTGTTTTATTCTTTGGATTTTTCTTTATAGCTTTGAAGTACCACGTTGGTGTCTACTGCCTGCAAGTTGTCAATGCCACTAGACGAAGGTATTTCCGATTCACCAACGCCAAAAATGGTCTCTGTCTCCTTCTCTTGTTGATTTTTCTTCTTGAAATGAAATACTGGAATTAAAAAAGAATGAAAATGTATTATATACGTCTGCTTTTTTATTTCATGAAGTTCCCGGCGGTATTTAGCATAACCATAAACAATTGTTAGTCATATATATGAGACAGATATGAGGACATTTTTTATAGTTTATATGCCAGTAATCCTCGGTAGCGTAGCGCCCTGTGCCATCCTGTCGTCACTCTCGAACAAAAGACTTTGTTTGCTTAACGCAATGTTCCCGGAACACCCTCTGGCGAGAATCTACGAAGCTATCAAACGACAAAACTATCGAATGTCAAATTAGGAGCGCAGATTAAACCGGTTATGTTAAGAAATGAGTGGAATAAATAAAAACGACTTAAATAATATTATATCTCTCGTTTGAGATGCGGCTCAGAGCTGCAATGCGCAGTGTGGGGACATTGCTTATTACCGAAGCTTTACTATTAAATTTACTCAGCAAAATATTGTAATTATTATTAACAGGCCAAAATAAAATTTAATAACTTTTCTAGTGCCATCCCTTTGATAACGTTTTCATTGAGATTGATACGGCTTGTGATTCATGACAAATTTAAAACAATTTTTTGATCAATATTGTAAAAAATATCTCACTTTGGCTTGGAAAAAAAGATCTGAATTATACAATTCAATGGATGCCCCCATCCCAAAATATTATTTTCTCCTAAACGAAATGGTCTTGAATGATGTACTGTGTATTTTACTTGGTTTTGTGTATTGGATTTTATTACTTCAGTTCAGATCAGATGAAAAATTAAGTGTACGTTACATGTTACAAAAAGTGGTATTTAGTGAGTTGTTCTTACTGTAATTCCGGATTTGAAAAGTGTTCACATGTTTTCCTAGTGAAGCCTATTTCCATGTTCTCGGCAATCACACTACATGACTGTCACAAAGTGTACGCCTATTTTTAAAGTCTAACAATACGTGGTCTAGTGTATTATAACAAGCATGTCTAACTCTTCTTATCCTGATTGTAAAATTCTACAACCAATTGAAGATTATGCACGACAATCTTCATAAAATTCCACCTCCCCATACGAAACCTAATTTAACTCTAATGTTCCGCACCCACATTCACTACAACATGCCGATGGCTCTCCCTGGTTTTACCATACGTATCGTAACAACCAAATATTTTTTTTTATCCATTTTGTCCCACTCACATGCTCTTTTATGCACTCTGACACGTCACCTCACTCTAGTTCCGTTGCCTCTGCGCACGACTAGTAAACCTAAAACAAATTTACTCATCCGTCACCGTCATCCATGGACACAACGTAGATCAGGGCCAACAACAAATGCAGACGACAACTAAAACTTGCTCTACGTGACGTGAATATCTTCTAGATCTTACCATTGTTGTGCAATCGAAAGCTCCCTGATATGTGTCTAGGCTTTAGGGTTTTTTTTTTTTAGTGAAAGAGATCATAAACCTAAATGCATAGTTTTCACATGTCCCGATCAATCATTAATTATGAACTTACCGAGGAGACCGACCACTAATACCAAACACACAAATCCACCAGCACCACCTCCAATGGCGTATACTAAGATTTCATCACGCTCACCCTTCACAGAAAAGAAGTAGACAGTTATTAACATTGTGTTTTATTATTTGTTATTATTGATATCATTATCATCGTAATAATCAACATAATCATCACCATAATCACCATCACCATAATCATCATCATCATCATCATCATCATCACCTTCTTCTTCTAAATCATTATCACCACCATCATCATCTACTGCATACCCTAGGACTAGATTACGATTAAAACAGTATCAACATTTGTCTACCGTAGGGTCAATCGTAAGCATGTCTCTAATAACAGCAACATTTGACGGGTCTGCTGGAAATAATAATTTTAATCGTAACTTCATGTTGAGAACATAAATCCTAATGGTTAATTTAGGATACATTAGATCTACATCAAAATAATCTACATGTCTAATAATTTAATTAGAGAACTAATACACCACATGTTAATAATTAAAAATGTCATTTTGATATAATATACATTTACCGATTCATTGACTTTATTTATCTGAAGCGGTTCAGTAGTGGTGTCATTCAAAACGTTCGTGGTGCCTCCATTTAACATTAAAGTCACTGTACCACTTGTCGAGATATCTTCATCTATACAAATTAAAAAAAGTAATATAATTTAAATACCTATCTTCTGTACTATTAATACAATATTGTAGACCTATAATAATAATGTTGTAAATCATTTTGAAAAATAAACCAATTATCAATTAACGGAATACGATTTCTATTCTATTATTTGTGTTGTTAAGTTTTTAGTTTCATAGAAGTACGGATTTGGACAATTTTTAAATCGTTGGCTAATAAATAGTTTGGTTTATTTCATTCATTTAAATGTACAGTATAACTTAGGATGAGTATAAAAAATATCCCAACTTACAAAATAATTAAAGCCAATGTCATACAAAAAATTAAAAAAAATCATATAACAATGCAAACAAAACTTAAAATGCCACCACGGTTTCATTCTTCTCCCTTAAATTTGAATCTTCTCTAATTCCTATACCATATCCAACAGGTACGTTTTTATACTCTGCCATACTTTCTATTCCATATAAATAATATGTTTACTCTTCAATCACTCCCTTCACAATTAGGCTATCGCACAAGATCCAGAAATGATATTATACACATACACATACTCATAACACCAATTATTTTCAATACAATATTAGATATTCTGCCTTATATTCTGGAACAATTTACCTCCCTCAATCCTAAACTAAGTTTCCATGAGTCTTAAAAAAAAAAACAAACTGAAGAATCCAATTTCAGAATACTAAATTATTATTGTTTTACGTCACGACTCAACAATCTGCTCTCAGGAGCTACAGTGTCTGTTATGTGTGCATTAGTATTGGTATTACTGGGCATTTGTAGAGCGCATAATACATAAGTCTGTATGCGCTATATCAAGTGTCTTTGAAAAAAAATGAGAGGAAAGTAGCAACATAAACGTAAAAAAGAAAATGTTAAAGCACTGCAAAGGTGGTCTTTATTCTCTCCTTCAAAATAAATAGAAATGAAGCAGGTAGACAATTTGGGGTGTGTTTGTCAATTTTTGTACAGGCCTGTCAAACACAAGATGCTATTTTAATAACATCTTCTCAAGCATGTGCTTTTCTTTTGATTATTTTCTTTGTTATTAATATGTTTCATTGTTGCTATATTGTTTTCAATAGAAGAAAGTAAAGGTCTTATTGAATTTGAATATAATAATAATAAAAAATTGAGATGATTGTTTAATTGCCAAAATATTAAAAAAGGTGATAGAAATTTAGGGTCACATAACAATATGTAAGTTTGATTGTGAAATTACAATTGAGAAAAAAATACTTTTTTATGATTATTTCATAGTATAGTATGAAATATAATTCAATAACCGAAAGGTCCACTTAATTACTCTCAGATAAGAATGTATAATACTGTACATACTCCAAGTATTGAACTGCACGCCATCGTGTTGGGATTGAATATTTCGACATTAATTATGTCGTCATCATTCCTGATGATGACATAATTAATGTTATTAAAATATTTTACTTTCTAATAATTCAATAAAATTCAATAAACTTTATAATTATTAAATACAAGAAAAATTGGTGTCATCCACATTGCCACAGTACGATTCGTAGCTGATCACTTTGTGCCTTTTTGTAAAGAAATAGACCTTTCTGGCATGTCAATTAAACAAAGCAGAACAGCACCATGGATACGCGCAAGTGCCACAAACACATCTGCTTACGTAATTTTACACTGTCCTTTTGTGAGACCTTACCAATATCTAATGAGTAAGCCGGTACGTTAATTTTATATATCTTAGTCACTCTTCAGCAATGAGATTAGAATCTGTTAAGAGGTGAATGATTTAAAATAAAGAAGAATTAGATTATGTGCCACTGGGACTATTTCCGTTTTTTTTTTTTATATTATTGATAACGCTAGCATCCAATTTGTAGTAGCACTGTACAGCTTTTAGCACCTTTGTGGGTTTCACGCATAGCACTTGCTCTCAGCTTGCGACAGTAATCCTAAAATAAGAAAAATTACCTATAAAAAATATTCTTAAAATAGGCACCATACAATAAAATTATTAAACAGATATTAAAATGTAATCACTTACAAGGAGACACGGGGCAGTATCTTGATCCCGGTTCAGTGATAATGACGCTATCGCACACAAGACATCCTGTTTTTCCTTCATTTGGCTGGTAATATCCTCTCGGACAGGGCCGACACGTAGCTGGAAGATTATCATTCCCTCGAGATGTTCCCGGAGGACAATTTACTAAAAAAAAAAAAAAAAAAAAAAACTGTATAAACAATAACACTCACCGCATATGTACCCATCTTGGTGTGCATATTGAGTGTCAGGACATATTGGACCATTCATAAGAGCGTTGAACCCTGTCACTTCGAATAATCCACCCCGATGTTCAAATGTTTCTCCCAGTGTTAACAAATCATTCAGTTCGGCCACTGTGTCTCGGACTAATTCAATTTTGTCTTGAACGTGATACGCCAATTCTTTCCGACTTGCATTTGCAATATCAATCCATGTGAAGTTTGCACTTCTAACGTCGAATGATATCTCAGTTAAAAATGTCTTCCCAACAGGACTAAATTCTTTATAGTTAAGAAGTGCGAGTTCTGGTTCGTCATCCCCAATGACCTCTGAAATAACATTAATCAAAGACTCATTTGTATGAGTCGAGTTTGATCCGTCTAATTGATAAAGCGTAATCGTAATATCACTGAAGAACTCCGGTATAGATACTCCTAGAACGTTTAGTTTTGCACGATTTGACATCTGCATTCCGTGTGTGTTCCATGCCTCACATGTATACCATCCTTCTTGACTAAATATTGGACTTAATATCTCAATACCAGAAGCATTCTCACCTGCGATGGCTTTCATGGTTGATGTTAATGAAGCCTGGAAGTACCACTGATAGTTTGGTAAAGGAAGAGCTGAAGCTTCACAAGTGAAGAATATGCCTTCAGGATTTCCTTGTTCGATGTCAGCGTCTTGTGGATGCTCGATAATCGATGGTACAAACTCTACAGTAAGCTCACATTGCTCAGATTGAACTGACGTCACTTTGTTGCTGGCATGGCAAGTGTACGCACCAGAATCAGAGGCGTTCACTTGCTTCAGTAGAAGTGAATTTGTATGCCTACCACTCAGTGTTTCACCGTTAAACTTCCAACTATATGTTGGTGATGGGTACCCCGATGCCAGACAAGTTATAATAACGTCATTTCCTTCGACTGCCACAATTTCAGCTACTGGATGTTTAGTAATGGTGGGCTTTCTTAAACATATGTCATTATTATTTTGAAGAAAATATATCTGATTGAGTACATTCGTTGCTGCTGTTAGAGCTTCATTGACATTCAATGTATTTTTATCTAAAAGTGTTGATATATATTCATCAAATATTATAACCTTCTGGTAAATTTGGCGATTTTCAGACAAATATTTCAATGCGATCAATTCAGTTGTTAAACAGTCATGAAATCCCTCACAATCAGCGAGTCCACTAAAATTACGTGTGTATTCTTCCATTACAACTTCCCACCTTGAGAGAACATCGTCAACCTCTAGCAATGACTTTGTGTTGTTTGCTTTTATTTTCGCTGAGTAAATAACTTTTATCAAAGCATTTTGCTCAAGACCAGTTTCTAAACTGCTGTTTAGATATTGTATATCATCCACAGTCAAATTGAAATACTGCAAGGCAGCGCTGGTATTTACAGCCTCCGATGTTGGTTTTGATAAATTATAATGTATAAGACCATCATCTAAACTGCTGTTTAGGTATTTTATATCATTCATAGTTAAGTTAAAATACTGGAAGGCAGCACTGCCATTAACAACGTTGGATGATGATATTGATAAATTATAAATGTATTCACTGTGAAAGTTGTCTACATTTTCTAACGCTGGTACATTAGTTACTTTGCTAATATTTGCAACCTCTAATAGTGTATCAAAAGAGTGCTCGACGAAACCTAGAATATCATTGAAGTCCTTGCATCTTGCCTCATTCTGAACAACATTTTGATCTCTCAAAATTGTTTTGCTTATGTTATAGTCTAAAGTGCTGTTTACCAAATTATAGCTTACACTGTTCATCGGTGGTTGTTCAATAACTGTAATAGTGCCACGTCTATTTCGACCATGGACAAGCCCGATTCGTCTTTGACTCGCTTCTCTTCTTCTTCTGACGGACCTTGTTATATCACCAAACAGTTCTTCTGTCATAAACAGTGCAGCATTTTCAAGTGAGTATTCTAAATTTTTGAGATCAATATGAATTTGAATCTGTACAGGAATGGCCGCCAGACTGAGATGACATACGACTGGAATTACCGTAGTTTCCTCTCCAACTAAGTCAATATCAAATTGAAGTCCCTTGAACTCCAAACTTCCTTCAATTGATCCGTTGATTTGAAGTTCCCTTATGGCCAAGCCTGCTTTGACGTTCGCATTTATTTCGTTGAGCGCATTTTGCGTATTGTTAAGATGTGCCTGCAATGACTGAACTCTAATCAACACTTCTTCGTGTTGACTAACTGCGTCTTGTAGTTTGATTACTGCTTCATTCAATGATGCTTCGGCAAGTGATGCACGTAGGACAGCATTATCCAACTCTTCAATAATTGATGAAAGATCTGGAGTTGTTAGTTTTAGTTGGTCAAATAATCGGTTTCGTGTTTTTCGGCATTGTTCATTACTACGCACACAGTTAGCATCGGGCATCTGCGTACTACAAGCAACCTCTTCCGTTTCAATCTTTTCTACTTGACCTACAATCTGATAATGAACGCATGTACTACATGACGTGTACATAACGCTGATTTCAACAGGTTTTCTGCAAACGTTACAACAGGTGTACCTTGAATAACACCTTCGTCGTCCAAAGTTTAATAAGCCAGTCACAAGTGAAAACCCAGTGAATACGAACCTAAATGGGTTTAAACCAAAAAAAGATCTTCTTACAGCTCTTGTACCTCGGCAAGTTTTACAACATGTAGTTGTTTCTAACACAACCGCCGATTCCGTTCTCTCATCACAACATTCATACGGCACATACGCATAAACATCTTCAATAACAGTGAAAATTGTACTTCCAGGTAGACATACTCCTCTGCATTCACGCACTTCACATACGGAATTCAAATAGTCTTCTATCTCCTGTGTATAATTACGTTGGTCCTCCAATAAGTCACGTGCACGCTCGACATTTTTATTTGCCACTAGAAGATCGTTATTTGCAGAAGCATATTGTTTTCTCGCTTTGTCAGCTTTTGCCTTTTTCAAACGTTCTTCTTCTAAAACCACATTTAACCGTGATTCTACGATTGCGACTGATTTAACCCCTTGCTCCAGTCTTCGTTCGCTGTCGTCTAATGATTTCTGGGATAGTGTGATAATTTTGTCTTTGATAATTCTTCCTAAAGAGAATGGACCTTCAACAGAAAAGTTACCATTCACATGTAGTACCATCGATTCAAAAGAATCCAACTCTGAAGAAACAAATCCTTCCATATCAAATAATCCCCACAGCTTTCCTGTCAAGTAAAAATATGTTCCTGACATCGTCAGGTGCAACGTCGTCATTTGCTCAATCCCAAAGATGTTTGTGAGTACTGGTATACATCCTGACCAATGATTTACATTGGATTGCAATGCTAAACTAAATTTAGCATTGGTAGGGATAGTAACAAACCGATTCAGCATTTCTTTGGCTGCGTATTTGCCTCTTATACAAATTGTTGATATACTGGAATCAATTTGTAGCTCAGTACACTCTTGACAGCTTGAATTTGACATGGATACTTCCACTTTTAACGATGGAAAACAAAGATACGACGACAAGCAGACTTCAGACGTCATACGAAAGCCAGATCCTGTTGTTGTTTCGTGAACAAAAACATTCTGCAATTCAATGAGAGCTTGATTGCAGAGTTTCTCTAGTTGATGTGTTATGTTATGGAGATCTCCTTTAAAATCATTATATTGGATATTTGAGTTGCTATAAAGCGTGTCGTTTACGTAACGAAGCGCCTTCAGACTTCCTTTACATTGTATACGCAACTCAGACAAAGAGTTACCAATTGACTTTATCTCCTCTCCAGACAATACCTGGAAATAACTGTTAATTGTATCATTCAAGTAACTGGTTGTAGATAGAATAGTAGAATACATATCGTGAAAGCCAGATGTCAATAGATTTTCAGCTAATGTAGATAATTGTGTCGGCATGTCTTGCAGTTTATTAACAATCTCTGTTACGCTCTTAAGGTCAGATGGGATGGAAAGACTCGGTGACAAGTCATAATATACGAAAACCTCTGCTGGTGACCCTATATTCTGAGGTTTAAGCAGCCATGAAAATGCCGTATCATCAAAAACACCCTGTGACGTTGATGACTCTATTACTATTCCACTTGTATATGAATTTCGACCAGAAGGAAGATCTATTAAATAAATGACGTTTTCATTGTTGGTCATTTTATGTCAATTTAGTTATATAAACTTTATCATACAATATTATATACAACATATTATATATCATCTAAAATACATAGGCCTATATTTTTGTATTATAACGTATAGACTCGTCACAAAAATGTAATAATTATAGAAAGTTTCCTTTAGACCTGGGGTATCAGAAATTAAAATAACCCTCACATATACACCTGTCTCTTATACACATCTAGATGTGTATAAGAGACAGGTGTGTGTGTGTGTGTTTTCAATATAAAAGTTACAGAATTATAATAATTAAACTATGTTGTTGTCATCCTTTTCGAGCATAATAAATTTGTCAGAAGTTTTACGGTAAACATTAGAGATCATTAATATATAACAACTAGACAGGAACCATTTTCTTTGTCGGCGTTGGTAACACGATGCTACATAACCAAAAAATGAAGATGTGTCATACACAGTAATTTACACGTTATTAATTATAGATGTGTTTAATTCAAAAAGTTGTGATGTATGTTAATATCTTAATTAGTTCACTTGGTGTAGGAAAACAAAACTTACTGCCAAAGTTAGCATTTAATATTGGATTATTCACTTGGTTCGACTTGAAATCCAATGATACGTCTTCACCAAGCACTTTCCAGAACAGTATAACTTTGGATTCACCAAATTGCTGTAACATCCATCGTTGTGTGAACAAGTGACTAAATAGCTGTTATTGAAATTAAATATATAAATAATCATAATAGCTGCTTAAATACATATTTAAAATATGTTTAATAAATTAATAATTCTGTATTGCTATTTCTATTTTTTATACGACCTTAAAAACTTATTTATTGAATTAATTTTAATGTAATGTTGCAATTTATATTTTACTATGCTTGGAGAAACATGGCTACCCATGCTTTTGAATACCAACACCGAAAATGTGTATAATTTCAAATAGAATAAGATAGATAATATAGATATTCTAAAACAAAATTAAGCATACTTGGGTTATATCCTCTAGTGTCACATGAATATCCCCACTACCTTCGAGCTTTGCAGACACTGTTTGGTTAATATTGTATGCGTACTGAAGATTGACAAAGATGCTGATTTTGTTATCGTCTTGTTGACCATATCGACCATTTGGATTTAGCTTTTCGGTTGTAGAAAATGCAAGACCATTGATTTCAACTTTGAGGGAATCATCGACATTTATATCCTTGACGAATTTCATAATATCTCTTGAACCTTCGGGAAACATCATCATAACCGTCCCCGAAGTGATGTTACACACACCCACAATAAAGCAGTATTTTCCTTTGTATGGCGGGAGTGGTAATGTTACATGTCTGCCCCCAACAGTTAATTCAGCCTTGTAGAGTAAATATACGGAATACTGACCATCATTGATGACGGGTGCAAATGTGCACCATTCGGTTGATTTCACCTCATTTCCCCTAAGGATCGATGTTGAAAATGATGTTTTAGAATTTCTTGGATCTATGTTGACTGATATAAAAGTGATCCAATCAGGAAGAATGTGTTCCAGTTGCCGTGTATAGTTACGATAAAATGACTCCTGTTGAACAAATTCTTGAATTACATCCACTGTTAGGCCTTGACTTTGACAATTGGTGAAGGAAGTAGCAATTGTTTTCCCGTTACCTGTAGTTGAGTATCCGATAAGATTAATTGGGAGTTCAAATGAGTTTGTTGCTATAGAAACCACACCAGTAGTTTGAGCAGCTGCCTTCGTTGTCTTCCATTTGTCGGTTGATCTAAATTGTGCACCACGGCCTAAACATATAGACTCATCCGACAGCTCAAAACACCCAGACGGAAGTTGAAAACCTGGTGTAAAATGTGTTCCGTAGACATACCCATTAGTATGTGTATTATTTTGAAACACAAATAGCTCGTCATCATTTAGAGATTTGAATTCAGTTGCTCCTTTACCTCTCAAAACATACGTAATTTGCGTAAACCCCTGACTAACTCCTTGAATAGAAACGGTTTGGATATTCGATTTGGGAGTAAAATATAGTTCAGTTGGGTAAACGACAACTTTACTTGGATTGGCCATGATTGTTAATATGAGTGTTTGCATTGGTTTAGCAATAAATTCCAAATCATCGTAGACATGGCCTACCCATATCTCAGGCCATTTAGGTGTTGTTATGAAACCATCCTCACAGTTTGTTCCCGTGTAGCCGGTTCCTGTGCAGTCGCAGAAATACCTGTTTGCCTCATTTTCAGATGGGCGACAGACACCCTTTACACATGGAGATGGTGAGCACACCTGAATTTCTAAAATGTAAACATATTTTTATTCCAAATAATGTAAATTTATTGTGGTTGCGTCCTTGTCCATGTATAGTGCATTACTGATTTCAGACTCACTGACCTATCATAAATGTAAATGTGTTTAGTTCATTGTTAATTAATTGGCTAGCATACCATGCATAATTCATATAATTAATGTTGATAGTAACTACTATAGGCCAATCTAATTTTAATATGAAGTCGTTTCTTACCTTTACATACTGAAGCAGAATTGTTCCAGAGTCCAGATAGTTGACACTGTGTAATACTATCTCCTTCTAAGAAGTAACCCAAATCACAGCCAAACATGCAACGACTGCCAACATTGTTTTCACACGGATAAAAGATGTAACCATTGGGTAGTGACAGTTCAGGACACAGAATCTCTGTAATAATATAATTCAACTAATTAGGATGACAGAGTAGTATGTTGATTTCGGTTCCATGTAAGCGTTGTGCGGCATATACAGAACATAAAATCAAAGTACAGATAAGAAAATAACTAGCTAGATATACTATGTCTGTTTGTACAAAAGAACATAGGGCTTTTCCTCATTAGCATAATGAAAAATAATGTTGAAATTGCAACAAAAAGTCATTAAAAAAAACCCCCAAAAAACCAATAAAAACCAATTTCGACGCAACGTTTGTGGGACTCAAACTATAGCTGCAGTGGTAATAGCGAGGGTGGTATACAGACTCATACCACCATTGCGTGCTATATGAGCTTACTCGGTGTAGACCAGTGCATTTGTAGTTCATAGTAATTCAGTGATTGAAAGCGAAAATTGTTCATGCATATCACAGTAATTTTGCGTATAACCTAGCTGCATTTTATTTAAATGCTTTAGGAAACGCGAATTGCGTTTATTGTAGTTTAATCAACTGTCCAATAAAACTCTTTAAATGGTTCTCACATCAACACCCTACTCTAAATCGCCACCAAAATTTAATCATTTGTTAATTGCACCATGAAAAACTACTCTGGAAAGTTTCATTTAGATACATTTATAAGTTATTAGAGATATTTAAATAAGGGACCTTAGTAATTTTAATGACCCTGAAATTTACTACAATTTATAAAATACCTTCTTGTTAAATATGTAACATGGTTAACATTCCATTCAGATCAGTCGATGAGTTTTTGGGATATCTGGTTTGAGACGTCTACAGTTACATGTTCCTCATGTCCACACCCTACTCTAGATTGTCACCAAACTTTTATCCTTTCTTACGTGGACCATGACAAACCATCCTGTAAAGTTTTATTTTGGTCCATTGGTCAGTTTTTGAGATATTTAGGTCTGGGACAGTAACACCTAAAATGACCCCAAACTTAACACCTGAATCTGTATCGTCACCAAAGTTCAATAATTTCTTCTTTGTAACTTGGTTAAACTTTTAAAAAAGTTTCATTCAGATTAGTTAGTCAGTTTTTGGTATATCTGGTCTAGGACGTTTCCTTTCAATGGTCCTCATAGCCACACCCTACTCCGGATCGTCACCAAACTTCAATTATTTCTTTATTGGAGCATGAAAAACTATTATATGAAAGTTTCATTTAGATCCATTGATAAGTTTTTTTTAAAAGATATTTAGATATGAGACGTTGGAACTTTATATGACCCTCAATACACACCCAAAACTGGTCACCAACATTTAATAATGTCTTCTGTAACTTCCCTAACGTTTTATTCAAATCAGTTAATTCGTTTTTTTAAATATCTGACCTTGGACGTTTTCCTTTGAATTCCGGCTCGTCACAAAATGTAATCATTTCTTTACTAGACTTTGACAAACTAATTATAGAAAGTTTCATTTAGACCTGGGGTATCAGAAATTAAAATAACCCGCACATTTACACCATAGATTGGATCGTCACCAACACAATAATTTCTTTCTTGTAACTTGATAAAACCTTCCAGAAAGTTTCATTCAGATCAGCTGATCAGTTTTATTTATCTGGTGTTAAATGTTAGCCCTTAAATCTGGTCTGGGACGTTTTCCTTTGAATTTTCCTCATATCCACAACCTATCGTAATTTAATGATTTCTTTACTAGACCTTGACAAACTAGGAAGTTTCATTTTGACCTGTTGATGCGTTTTAGAGATGTTTAGGTCTGGGACGTCAGAAATTAAAACGACCCTTACATTTTTGCACATTTCTTCCTTGGTAACTTGGTTAACTTTTACGAAAGCTTCATTCAGGTGATCCTTTTTTCAATTATTTGGTGTTGAATGTTTGCCCTTAAATCCCTGTAATTGGTCCTCACGTCCACACCCCAGTCTGAACTGTCACTAAATATTATTAAGCACATCATTGATATATGGTCTATGCTTGGACAAAGTGTGGAAAAGATCCAATCATGGAAAGTGACCAAAATACCGGGCGGAATAACCTAGTGCCAAAAGATAGGAAAAATATGTACGAAAAAGAAATAAAGAAACC